TGCCGACAATTGCGCAGTTGGCAGCTCCCCCCGCAGGGGGCCGCGAGGTCCCGACGCGATCCGCGTGTAACCCCCACTTCGCTGGGCCTCCCAGGAGCCAACGAAAGTGCCGACAGTTGCGCAAGTTGGCAGCTCCCCCCGCAGGGAGCCGCGAGGTCCCGACGCGATCCGCGTGTCAACGGGTCCCAGACTGCGGGGCCTCCCCCAGGAGCCCACGAAAAAAGCGGCCGGACAGTTTGTTGGCGCAGTTGCAGCTCCACCCCGCAATGGAGCAGCGAGGTCACGAACGCGTTCTGCGTTGTCTCCCACCACTCCGCTTGGGCCTCCAGGACCACGTAAAGTTGCCGACAGTTGCGCAGTTGGCATCTCCCTCCGCAGGGAGCCGCGACAGGTCCCGACGTGATCTGCGTGTCACCCCCACCTCCGCTGTTGGCCTCCAGGGGACCACGAACGTATGCCGACAGTTGCGCAGGTTGGCCATCCCTTTCCCCCCCGCAAGGAGCTGCGAGATCCCGACGCGATCTGCGTCGACGCGATCTGCGGGTCACCCCTACTCGCTGGGCCTCCCAGGAGCCCACGACAGTGCCGACAGTTTCGCAGTTGGCAGCTCACCCCGCAGGGAGCCGCGAGGTCCCGACGCGATCTGCGTGTCACCCCCACTCCGCTGGGCCTCCCAGGAGCACCGCAAGGAGCCGCGAGGTCCCGACGCGATCTGCGTGTCACCCCCACGCTCCGCTGGGCCTCCCAGGAGCCAACGAAAGTGCCGACAGTTGCGCAGTTGGCAGCCCCCCACCGCATGGAGCCGCGAGGTCCCGACGCGATCTGCGTGTCACCCCCACCTTGCTGGGCCTCCCAGGAGCCCACGAAAGTGCCGACAGTTGCGCAGTTGGCAGCTCCCCCCGCAGGGAGCCGCGAGGTCCCGACGCGATCTGCGTGACACCCCCACTCCGCTGGGCCTCCCAGGAGCCCACGAAACTGCCGACACAGCCTCAAGGACGAACGCCGCAGCCGACCCCCCAGTTGGCAGCCCCCCCCGCATGGAGCCGCGAGGTCCCGACGCGATCTGCGTGCCACCCCCACTCCGCTGGGCCTCCCAGGAGCCCACGAAAGTGCCGACAGTTGCGCAGTTGGCATATCCCCCCGCAGGGAGCCGCGAGGTCCCGACGCGATCTGCGTGTCACCCCCACTCCGCTGGGCCTCCCAGGAGCCCACGAAAGTGCCGACAGTTGCGCAGTCGGCAGCTCCCCCCGCAGGGAGCCGCGAGGTCCCGACGCGATCCGCGTGTCACCCCCACTCCGCTGGGCCTCCCAGGAGCCCACGAAACGTGCCGACAGTTGCGCAGTTGGCAGCTCCCCCCGCATGGAGCCGCGCGGTCCCGACGCGATCTGCGTGTCGCGCAGTTGGCAGCTCCCCCCGCAGGGAGCCGCGAGGTCCCGACGCGATCTGCGTGTCACCCCCATTCCGCTGGGCCTCCCAGGAGCCCACGAAAGTGCCGACAGTTGCGCAGTTGGCATCTCCCCCCGCAGGGAGCCGCGAGGTCCCGACGCGATCTGCGTGTCACCCCCGCTCCGCTGGGCCTCCCAGGAGGCCACGAAAGTGCCGACAGTTGCGCAGTTGGCATATCCCCCCGCAGGGAGCCGCGAGGTCCCGTCTCGATCTGCGTGTCACCCCACTCCGCTGGGCCTCCCAGGAGCCCACGAAAGTGCCGACAGTTGCGCAGTTGGCAGCTCCCCCCGCAGGGAGCCGCGAGGTCCCGACGCGATCTGCGTGTCACCCCCACACTCCGCTGGGCCTCCCAGGAGCCCACGAAAGTGCCACCTGCGCCCCCCTCAGGGCGCCGCGAGGAGGAGGTAGGAGGCAAGAGGGAGGTGGGCGGGAGGACGGGGCGACCAGAGTGCTCTATTCAAAACGAGTACCTAATCAAGGGAGGGTTGGGAAAATGAGGCTCTCGCTCGAGACATCCTCGAAAAATGGATAGTGGACGAGCTGTTTCGAGGCGTCTTCAGTTCAGAATGGGGCTCTCGCTCGAGACATCCTCGAAAAGCGGTGATATCCAGGGAGCTTGCGAATCGAGTCGGTCCGAGAAGGGCTCAAGAGGTCTCCAAGATTGTCCTAGAATGCTCCAAGACGGTCCAAGATACCTTTACTATATTCATCATCATCCTCGCCATCACTACTATCATCATTTTCGTCGTCATCATCATCTCCATTGCCATCATCCTCGTCAACGTCATCACGGTGCCGGAATGTACAGAACGCCAGTAGATAATCTGATGCATCATGACACTGCGTCCTCCTCCTGTCCTGGGCCACGGAATCGCAATATAAATTTGTCCTGGGCCACGGAATCGCCATATAACTTTGGCCTGGGCCACTACTATCATCATTTTCGTCGCTTGTGTCCACCAAGCATGTGAAGTGTGCTCAGTTGTTGGTCTGCCGCGCAGGTATGTCGTGGCGCGCGTGTCGGCGTGCGTGCGGGGTGTGTTTTGCCGTGCTCCTGTGTGTTCTGCCCTACTCCTGTTCTGCCGTGCTCCTGTGTTCTGCCGTGCTCCTGTATTCTGCCGTGCGGATCGTCGCTATGGTCGCTGTGGCGGATCTTACGGGCGCGCTCGGTTTGACGGATGGATCCTTGGGGGTGCTAGTTTTGGCGGATCCTTGGGGGTGCTCGCTCTTTGGCTGATCTTTGGGGGTCGTTCGCTTGTGGCGTATCTTAGGGGCGCGCTGCCAGATGACGGCAGAATAGGCCCCAAGAGCGACAGAGCGCTGCAGAAAAAGACCAGGAGCACGGCAGAATCGACCCCAAGAGTTAAGGTGCACGGCAGAATAGGCCCTAAGAGCGACGGAGCACGGCAGAAACAGACCAGAGCACGGCAGAGTAGACCCCAAGAGCTAAGGAGCACGGCAGAAAAAGACCACGCGTTTCCAGAACAGGCCCCAAGTGCAAAGGAGCACGGCAGAAAAAGACCAAGAACACGGCAAAATAGACCCCAAGAGCTAAGGAGTACAGCAGAAAAATACCAGGAGCAACGGCAGAATAGGCCCCCAAAGCGAAGGAGCACGGCAGAAAGAACCAGGAACACGGCAGAATAAACCCCTCGTGCACACGTTCCACGTTGTGTGCAAAGCCTTGCGCGTGCGCACGCAAGCTCAGAGAAGCGGCGCTTCCCGTTCTTGTTCGGAAAGGTTTCTGACAAATGGCCGTTTCGCTTGAGACATCCTCCAAACATCGGCCCAAGAGGGGACTCCGCATCGACGTCGTGTTCGAATCGCTCTTGGAGGGCTTCCAACGGCCCAAGGGAGGCCCAAAAGTTTCCCCGGAGAGCCCCAGAAGCGCCCAAGAGCGCTCCAAGAAGACCCCAAGAGACCCCCAAGAGCGCTCTAGGAGACACCCAGACAGCTCACAAGAACCCCAAGACGGCCCGAGAAGGGCCAAGAAGGCCCCAAGAGACTCACGGGAGCGCCCCAGGAGGCCCCCAGCGCCGAGACGGCCTAAGAAAGCTCCCACAGAACCCCACGACGCGCCCAGACAGCCCAAGAAGACCCCAGAAGCCCATAAGAGGACCCAAGGGGCCCCCAAGAAGCCCCCAACAGGCCCCAAGAGAACCCCGCGCGGCGCCAGGAGCAACGTCTTTTTCCAATTGCCTCGTACTGTCCTCTGTCGTCGTCGTCGTCGTCGTCGTCGTCGTCGTCGTCATCATCGCCCTCCGCATTCCTCCTCGTACTCGCCCTCGTTCTCTTCGTCATCGTCCTTGTGCTTCTCTTCCTCCTCGTTGTCCTCATGCTCCTCCTCGCTATCCTCACGTTCGCCACGTCGTCCTCGTCATCGACTCCTCGTTGTCCTCGCCTTCTTTTTCTTCTTCGCCCAATACGCCCATTAGACTACAGCGGCGCTTCCCGTTCTTGTCCGATCAGGTTCGTGATGCCATGCTTCACTGCGCAATGCCACGCCATGCTATGGCATGCTACGTTTTGCCGTGCTCTTCTGCGCCATGCCATGCCGTGCTCATACGATGCATCGTGTACCCTCTCGCGATCATTGCCCTGCTCGACATCCGACTGTGCGACTAGAGAGGAGATCTACGCCATGGTAACGAATGGGAGGGGAGGGGTAGGACCGCAGATGCGACGCGAGCGCACTTAGCTTGTCTCCTCCCCCCCCCCCCCTCCCCCTCCCTGCCCCCCCTGGCCAGCGGCTCGCCCTCCCAGGCCGGCACATCGGCGCTCGAGCGCGAGGCCGTGGAGCTAGAGAGGGGCATGCGCCGCGCCCTGGGGCGCAACGTCGCGGGGGGCTGCCGGGGGGGAGGGGGGGGGCAGCCCCGCCGCTGAGGGCGGAGGTGGGCGGCAACGCGAGAGGGGACGAAGTTCCGAGGTTGTCCGAGGTCGTCGGCGGCCTCGCAGCCTCGGGCTGCCTTCCGGCGGCTGCCCCTCGCCGAGGGCGCTCCGAGGTGCCCGGATCGTCCCGAACGGCTGCCAGGGGCCCGAGCTGTAACCCGAAAGCCGCCGCGGGGGGGGGGCAGCCGAATCGCTAAGGGCATGGGGGGGAGCAAAGTTCGGGCGGACGAGATCTCGGTGCAATGACCCTTGCGGGCCTTCCGGTCCCTCGGTGGCCTCCTGGGACCTCGCTGGTTATCTCAGGCGCCATGGTGGGGTGGCGCCCTGGAGAGTTCTAGATCCAGGTCGAATTCCCCCTCCTGGGTCTTCTGAGGCCTCGTGTGCTCCTCTTGAAGGTTTCGGGAGGGGGGGGGGGGGGCCTCCTGAGCGGGTGTTGCGGGCCTCTTGGGCCGTCTTGGACGCGTCGAGGACCGGAAGACCGAGAGTTCGCGAAAACCATACGAGCAATTAATAGAGATTCACTGAAGTTTGCCCCTGAGGTCGGCCTAAGGAGCTCAGGACGGCCCCGCGGGATTGTTGTCCCCACGGCTTGGTGCAGGTTTGGAGCACATTTGAAAGCATGGTTTATTTCGTCCATGTGGCGCTGGGCCACCAGATTCCGCTGGTGAGTCGTGGGGTCCATGCGGCCGGGATGGAGTTCGTGCCTGCGCCTCTCGCCCGCTCCTGGCTCTCGAGCGCCTGTGCCTGCGGAGTGCCTCGGTTGATCCAGGCCGGCTGCTTTCCCCACGCCCGCGAGCCATGCCAGCCGAGGAGGGGACGGCGGCGGCGGCGGCAGAGCCAGTGGCGAAGGCACGCTCGCGGAAGGCGTCGTCGGGCTTCCGCCCGCTGGCGCCGCTCCTGGAGCGCCTGGGCCCCGAGGTGGGCCAGCTCGTGCTCACCGTCTACGGCGGGCTTGCCGGCTTCTTCTGCTACTTCGCCATGTACGCCTTCCGGAAGCCGTTCAAAGCCGGCCTGTTCCACGAGCACCAGTATTTCGCTGGCACGCAGGTGAAGTTCAAGACGGCTCTGGTGCTCGCGCAGCTGCTGGGCTACATGACCTCCAAGTTCTTCGGTGTCAAATACGTGGCGGAGGCCAAGAATAAGAACGTTGCGATGCATCTCCTCTTCATCATCGCGTTTGCTCAGTTCACCTTGGTTCTCTACGCGATCTTGCCTTGGGATTGGAAGGTCCTCGCCATGTTTCTGAACGGCCTGCATCTGGGAGTGATCTGGGGGCTCGTCGTGACTTTCTTGGAGGGAAGGCGCACCAGCACCTACATGCTTTGTGGCCTCTGCTGCGCGTTCATCGTCAGCAGCGGCGCTGTGAAGGATGTGGCGCTCATGATCTTGAATCGGGGCGTGAGTGAGGAGTGGATGCCGGCGTACGTCGCCGGCATCTTCCTCCCACTCTTCGTCCTCTGCGTCTGGCTCCTCTACAACATGCCTCCGCCCTCGAAGGAAGACATAGCCGCTCAGAGCGAGAGGAAGGCCATGGACGGCACGGATCGCTGCAACTATTTCCAGACCCAGCTTGGATCGCCTCTGACCCCCCGCAGCTAACCGCCCTCGTCGGGGGTGTAAAGATCAGGTTTCGTAGTTTTGCCAGCTGGAGGCTGGCTAAAGGGCGGACGCCTCATGGCTGGTCTCTGGCTTGCCGAGTACTTCATGGCATGACGCAGTACAAGTGGGCCGCTGAAGAAGGAACCCTTATCGTTGGGGAGGGGCTCAGTGTTCTTCACTTGTGCTACGGGTTGCCTTAGGTGGTCCTTAGGGCTTCTGTGGGAAATCGAAGTTAAACTTATGGAATAAAAGGGGGGCCGTTCCTTAGCGAGGGTTCAGTATGACAGCGTTTCGACTGTGCTGCCCCTCGGGTGGTCAGTCGCGGTGGGCCTGGGGGCTGTCCAGTCCCAGAGACTCGGCCTGGTGATGCTCTGGCTCGGAGTCCTAATCCTGACCGCGTACCGGGACTATCGCGACACCTTTCAGACGGAGCTGTTCGTCGCCCTGCAGAACAGGGAGCCAGATCCAGGAACGTTTTCCAAGAGCGAGTCGATCGTGGGCATTGCGATCTTGATTCCGCTCGCTTCGCGGGATGCACGTCGGGAGTGTGCAGAGGATGTGCGTTCGGGCTCTCCTGGGAGCCTTTCGGGGACCTCTTGGTGACATGTTTGGGCTGCCTGGGGGCATGATGGGGCGTCTTGCGGGTGTCTTTGGCCGTCGTCGGGCGCTCTTGGGCCGTCTTGCGCCTTCGGAGGCCGTCTTAGGGGCCTCTCTGGGCCGTCTCGGTGCTTCGTGGGGTTCCCAAAGAGCCGTCCTGAGGGTCTCTTGGGACTGCCTTGGGGGCCTTCTGGGCCACATGGGGGCCCTCGCGCGCCGCCCTGGGGTCTTCGTGGGCCGTCCTGGGGCCGAGGCCCCGGGACGGGGCGGTCTGGGGCCCATCCATGGCGACGTTGGGGGGCGCCTGGAGCCCGAGAGGGCGAGGAAACCCAAATCAGGCAATGAGCCTGCCCGGAAGCTGGACACACGTGACCCGCGCAGCCCGGGCCAGAGCCGGATGCACATGTGGCTACGCGTTTGTCCAAAGGTCGGCCCTCGCGTGGCAAGGCACGGTGCTCCTCCACGCGTGTCTCGAGCCAATGGCCTCCAGATGTTCCACACATGAATCCAGCCAGTTGGAACGTCGTCGCGGCCTCTCGGGCCGTCTCGGGGGCCTCTCGGGCTGCGTTGGGTCTCGGGGGCCTCTCGGGCTGTGCTGGGACCAGCTTGGGGCCGTTTTGGAACCATCTTCGGCCATCTTGATACCCTCCAGAACCGTATCGAGGCTCTCTTCAACCCCGACAAAACAACATAATGTACTTGTCCGTTGTGGAACGTCTTTGGGGCCCAACACATCCTAAAGTCGGTGGATGTGGGCTCCAGTGGTGGCGCAGTGAGGATGGGGGTGGCATTATAATGTAAGTTCATACAGTATACAGTGACGTGTAAGGAATCTGGATGATTGGGCACACGGGGTATGTTGCATTCTGTAGAGCTTTCGCGACCTGCCGCCGGCAACACGTTCCTTTCAGACGTGGATACACACCGCTTCGCGGGCGACGCGGCGGGACAGGACTTCCGTCCGCGTGTCTTTTCTTTCTATTCTCCCGCTCTCCTCGCGTTCCCCTTCCCCCTCCTACGGTTCCTCTGCTCATGCATTGTAATGTGTATTATCGTCCTTGCCTCCTTCCTCTTCCTTCAGCCCTACCGTTTTCTCGTTCTCGTTCTCTCTCTATCTCCCTGTCTCCCTGTCTCCAGTCGTTTTTTTGTTGTTCCTCTTTCTCTCTCTATCTCTCATGATTGCTGTGTCTCTCTCTCTCTCTCTCTTTATCTCTCTCTCTCTCTCGTTCTCTACCTCTGTCTCTATCTCTCTTTCTCTCTCTCTCTCACTCTCTTTCTTTGTATATTTGCGTGCGCGTCGCCATTTCTGATTTGTCTCTGACTGGTTTTCCTATGCACGAGTGGTCTCAGCAGTTTCCGAGCAGCTCCAGGTTTCTCTGCTGCTCTCTGCTTCGCAACCGTCCAGGCTTCAAGCTATTTCTGGGGCCCCAGGCGGACGGGCCTCCCGTGGCTCGCGGCCGGCCCGTGGGCAGCCTCGGTCGCGACCGCGTGGCTGACGCAGTGACCTGCGTGCCTGGAGGCTCGGGCCACCTGTGGCAGCTGCATCGTCTGCCCCGCCGCGGCAGCGGTCAGCTGCGGGTTTGCTCGAGCTGCCTGGCGTGCAGCCTGACCTGCGGCGGCGGGCTGGGGCGGTGGGCGGTGTGCGCCGCCCTGGTCACGGGCCTCCTGCCTGGCGGAGGCGGTCGCGCCTTGCTGCGCGCAGCGGGCTGGATCGCTGGGTTAGCCGCTGGGCTGGCGGCGCCTCGGCCCGCGACGGGCGAGGTCAACTTCGACGGGGACGACGTCCAGGCGGGTGCGCTCGGGCCACGTCCGCGCTTCCGCGCCGTGCGAGCCTAGGCTCCTGAGGCGGGATGGCGGCGCAGCGCATGCTCGACGCGCCGGAGGCCCAGGTGTGGGTCAATTTCGACGACGACGACTACTTCCGGTGGCAGCACCGCCTCCCGCTCGTGGAGCTGAGCCCAGGCAACTGGGTGGCCGCCACCCCGGAGAGGGAAGTGTTTCGTGTTCAACCTCAGCGGGCACCCGGTCGTGGCGCTGCGGCGCGACGCCGCTTTCCCTGCCCAGGTGCGCGGGCAAGTGTACGCTTTCGGGAACACCGATGCCGAGGACAACGAGGCGCTGCGGGTCGACGCTCGGGCCTTGGCGCTTGTGAGGGGCGTGCCCTCGCCTCAGGCCTCCTGCGGCGCCTGGCTCGGTGCTCCCGCGGTGGGTTGTCTCGGACCCTGGGTCGCCCGACTCCGGCACGGAGCTCGACGTCCACATCGTCGGGAACTGGCGTTCGGAGAAGAGCTGGTGTCCGGGACGCGACCCGCGGATCTCGCCGCTGTCGCGTCGGACGCCAGGCGAGCCGGTCATGCTGTCGGAGGCGCTCGCGCGGATGAGCTCGATCGACATCAAGGACTGGCCCTCCCGAGGGCCCGAGGCCCTCCCCGAGCAGCTGGCCGCTGTGCTCGCCACGGGGCTCACGCTCACCTCCTACTGGGGCTTCTGGGTGTCGGAGTCGGGAGTCTCGCGGAGCGCCGGGGTGGCCATGGAGATGCGGGACCTGCTGAACGCGCTGCACCACGGGGTCACCCACGACATCCTCGACACCTCGAACCTGGCATCGTTCGAGCTGGTGGGGCGGAGGGTCGTGCAGATCCAGCGGGTGGCGAGGCGGTGCCCATCGGCACCCGAGCTTCGAAGGCCTCGACTTGATGCCGGGCAGCTCGCTGGACGAGAGCGGGGGCGCGGTGGCGTCTCGTTTCGACGCCTTTGGGGCCGAGAAGCAGCAGTCGCAGGGCATCATCCTGAAGCAGGAGAGGCCGTTCAGGGAGGAGCAGCAGTCCGACGCGAAGAGGCGCGAGAGGTTCGACGACGAGAAGCCGCCGAAGAAGCCGACGCCAAGGGAGAAGGCGAAGGCGAGGGCGGGCTCCAAGGGTCAGACTTGACGGCGCCATGGTGGCGCCGATGTGGCGGGGCTCGCCGCCTGGCCTTCCCTTGCCGAGCTCGGGCGCCGCGGCTGCGGGCGCGCGCCGGGTGCGGCACCCCTCCGAGGGGTCTCCTCCGAGGGCAGGACTCCGTCCGCAGTTTTGTTTCCTCTGCCGCAGGGCGACGGCTTCTACCGCCGCGCCCGTCGGGGAGAACGCGCCGCGTTGCCTCGGTGCCTGGCTCAGCGCGCCGCTCGTGCTGACGATCGCGACCATCGGTCGCTCGCCGGGGGCCATGGGGGCGCTCAACGCTTTGGCGGCCGCGCGAGCTGGAGGGCGCCTCGATCCTCGAGCGCCCGGCAAGCAGGGGCCGACTACCGCCCAGAAGTCGGTCATCAAGCGGGCCCGACGTCGCGCTCGCAGCTTCGGCGACCGCCCGATGGACATGGACTCGGCTTGAGCCCTTCAGGAGCTCCTCGATCGCAAGGACTTGTACTCGAGTATGGGCGAGAGCTCTACTCGGCGTGATTCGGGCGCCGGCAAGCTCAACGTGCCGCGGCGCCCGGCGAGCGACCGCCCGAAACAGCTGCGAGGCATCGCGCCTCGTCATGTCTCCGAGGTCCTCGACAACTTCGACCTGGACGTGGTGCGGCCAAAGGCCAACATCCCAGAGGCGAGGAGATCGTCGAGCCGCACTGGGACCCCTTCCTCAATCCGCGTGAACCGCGGAATCGCTCCAGATTCATCGACTTCCCGCGGCGTTTGGCGGAGCGCGGCCTGGTTGATGGCGGTCGACGACGGAAGGCCTGCGTGGGCGCGTTCTTCGCGGCAAAGAAGAACGGCGACAGCCGCGTGGTGGCGGGCGCCCGTCAGTCGAACCAGTTGCGCATTCTCCCGCCTAGGACGGCACTGGCCTCAGGAGAGGCTCTGGGGTCGATCGACTTGCTGGACGCCACCGACGCCTCCCCCGAGGACCTGGCCGACTTTGACAGCTGTTTTGAGTCCCTGTGCGCGGGCTCAGTCGACCTCATGGACGGCTTCTACCAGTTCGCCGACCACTCGTGGGGCAGCTGGATGTGCTTCGACGTCGAGGTCACCGCGGGCGAGCTCGGCCGCGACTCGATCTACGACGAGAAGCTGGGTCGGCGTGTGTCTGTGGCGCCGGATGAAGTCATCTGGCCTTGCTTCGCGGCCCTGCCGATGGGCTGGGGCTGGGCGCTCTGGATCTGCCACGAGGTGCTCGTCGATGCGATGGACGCGGCAGGGCTCCCTGGCGACGGCTGGTGTCTTGCCAAGGCCAAGGCCCCGACGCTGGTCGGTCGCTTGGTCATCGGGGCCCCGTGCGTCGACAATGGGAACCCGGTCTCGCCCAGCGCTACGGCGGTCGACGACCGGCTGGGCAAGCTCACCGCCGAGCTGGACAGGCGGGGTCTGCGCTGGCACGAGCTGGAGAGCGCCCAGCCTGGGCTGGTCATCCTCGGGATGGTGCTGGGCAGGCGCGAAGGTCGACTTCGACGCGCTGCAAAGCCGGCCCGGCGGCTCTACCTGGCGCTGCACCATGTCCTGCCGCGGGGCACATCGTGCACTTCTTCTCCGTCTTGCGGCCGGGCCTCAGCGTGCTGGGGCCCTGCTACACGCACATCGCGAGTGGCGACCTGTCCTCGGTGGGGCGCCAGCCGCGCGATGTGCTGGGGGAGCTCGCCACCGCGGCCAGGCTGGTCTTCCTGGGCGAGGTCGACTTGTGCAGGGTGCCGTCGGACATTGCCTTCGCGACCGACAGCTCGACGCGGGGCTGCGCCGTCTGCGAGGCGCGCGGGGCCGTGGGAGATCCTCGCCACCGCCCGTTCGCGGGAAGGGCAGCGCTTCGTCGCCTCCGAGGTGGAGATCGCCCCAGACGACGAGCCGTGCGAGGGCCGCGCTGCCGGGCTCAGTGATCCTTCGGAGCCCCTGCCAGCGACCACCCCACCGCGCCTTAAGGCGCGCCGTGGCTCGGCGGCGCCGCGTCGAGCT